GTGGCAGCAGGTAGTGGTGAGGGATGGCAGGTGGTGGTGGCAACAGGTGGTGGTGAAGGATGGCAGATGGTGGTGAAAGATGGCAAGTCAATCTCTCAGTAAATACTTGAAATATGAAATAAGTTCTAGTTTGTGGATTTGGTCAGAATGGATAATTTTTTATTAATTTAACAAAAAGATAAAAATGCAGACACAATTGCCCACGATTGTTCCACTAATAATATGATGTGCAGAGTAGCGCATTAACAGCTCCATTTTTTTTTTCTCATTTTTTTTTTTATTTATATATTTTTTTTTATTATTATTATTTTACTTATTTATTTCTGGAGATTTTTGTTTTTTGTTTTTTGTTTGTATGTGTATGTATGTATGTATGTATGTATTTATGTATGTGTGTGATATATATATATATATATATAGCCTGCATAGAAATGTATATTGGTTAGGATTGGGCCACAGACTAGATTAGTTCGGATGAACTACCTCTGTGGTCCACACCAAGAAATTATTATTATTATTATTTATTATTACTTATTATTATTATTTATTATTAATATAAGATTACTAGAATTGTTATTATTATTGGTGAAATAAATCAAATCATAACATAACAATTCTTTAGTTGTACAGCAAAATATATGGACTGGCTCTAAAAATCACAAAGAAATGTTCTACTATGTCATTTATAAAAGGAATGTCAGACTTTCTTTACAGTGATAATTTAGTATTCTATACTACAATAATAAATAGCATAACATTCATCAGTGCATTGATCTAGAGAACAGTGCCCTACCCCAGTGTATATATGGATGAAATCATACACAGTCCAGATACTAGGAGCAGTAATGTTTTGGGGACTGCTTGATTGAAATATTAAAAAAAAATATTCAACATTTAAAAAAAACACACCACACATCTGAAAAAGGAAGGTCATACAATGCAGACTCTAAACTGAGTGAAGGAGAAGACAAATTGCAATTTTGTCATCATCTCCTCCACCTAGAGTTTCTGATTGTCAACCCCTCTTATGACAGAGAACAATTAGAAAACAAATTCACTACAAAACTTACAGAATCGTAAGTATATCGGATATCCAAAGACGATATGCCAGCTGTTACCATGAAGGGAGCATAGTCACTACCAGAGCCAAGATTACCAATACTACACAAAATAAAAGATGTTATCATTAGTCCTGCCTCTAGCCATTCACTAGTAGTTATCTCATCTCAATCCCAACCCATCAAATATTTTATAAATTTTGTAAAAATACATTTTTCTCTATAGTTTGCATATAACACTAGCTTTTCAGCAAAAAAAAATCCTGCTATAAAAATAACATAAGTATAACAACCTTTATTGATAACATAATTGTAGACTGGTTTGACTTAAGCTATACTATGAATATTGATATCCAAGTGAAAACCAGTCACTTACTATGGAAGTGATTCTTCTTTCATTGGATTTCTTTTCAACCAAATATCATAGAGGGAGCCACCATTGGGATCAGGAATCTGTCAAAGTCAAACACATTATCTAGGAATCAAGCTATTTCTACTTACAGCAATGATTTTTCTCAGGAATGTTGACTAAATATCACCATGACTACAGCGAACATAATTAAGCTTTTCACTAACTACATGTACATTTACCCTATAGGGTAATATAGGGTAAACCATTATTATTGTAAGGGTGGTTAAGTTATTAATCAACCTGAGAATCTGAAAAACTTTTTGAAACTTTTATTTACAGTCATTTCAACAAACTCCTGTAATTGGTATAGATATCTTTTAATAGTTAATTGATAATGTCTTTGTTTCTGATGAAAATTAAATGCGGCTGACAGTAAATGCTATGCATACCTTCTTAGCAACATCATAGATAACTTGATACAATGTTGGAGATGACTTGGCTCGAAATACATAGTTACCTTGCACTGATATATCAACATTTAAATAAACAACAGCTTTACTAGAAAGACTCTTCATGTTTTCCTGAAAATATAAAAACACTAAAGATAAATTCAATTTTATTAAAATTATTATTAAAAATATTATTATTAAAATACTGAAATCATAATTCATTAAATTTCAATCATGCTATTTCCACTGATAAGTAAAATTTACTAAAATGAAATCCACATGAGCATGTCAAATTACAACAGAACTTGAGTGTAGCACTTGTAAATCCATTGACAAGCATTGACAAAGCACAGTTCACATTTGATATTAGTAGTTGATCTCAATGTTCAGCACAAATCACAAGACTCCAGGCATCATTATGTAGACAGACAATATGTAGTGATTATAATCACATATGATACGATGCATGATGTATGCTCTAGCTGAACATGTCAAGCGATATACAAGAAGAATGAGGTCATACGTAATTATTTATGAATCCTCTTGTTACTCAAATACCAGGTAATATTAAATGTACAGTATTAGTCTCACAGTCCCTTACAGAATATGACATGAATTAATGTTGGGGTAAATATTAATACTTGTATAATAACATTTTATACCTGGAGTACATGTTCTATATAAATCTTTTTTTTTTCCAGAATACCAGGATAATAACATTAATCTCATGGTCCCTTATAGAATATGACATGAATTGCATAAAAGTTTTCAAATAGTCTAGCAATTAATATATCTAAACAAAATTATGGTGAGAAAAATATAATTGGGTAATTTTGGGTAGCAAAAATAATTGCCACTGCATCTAGCTCTCATAATCAGCCATTCAAATGTTTTTATTTCTGTACTTATTTTTATGTCGTAACTGTTTTATTTTATCACACTTTTTACATATATTTTGAAAATTATACATGATAGTCACACTCAAATTGAGTTATTGCAACCTCAAGCAACACAGGTTTCAGACAAAAAGAAGAACACTGAGAAGAAAGAGATTTACTTCCTCATAAACCTTTCCTACTTCTAATGACAAATTTTACTATATATTTGTATGTTTTCTTTTTTCTATATTTGATTTGAACTTTCAAGCTAAACTAATCTTATCAGTAACTAATGGCATTCAATTACACTTGTGTTGGTTTCATCTTTCCACTCAGAGACAGACATCTGTTACATACAAATACAAACTTCTCCTATTCATGGTAATGAGGCACATTTTTATCAATATCTCCACAAATATACAAGCCAGCTATAATAAAATTTATCTGTACTGAGATTATTTATTGAGTGATAAAGTTGGTAATTTCTGCCCACAAAAAGTGTTAACAACAGAGATGACGTCATACATAAAATTTGTAACCACTATACCTTACCACTTCATTATCATTACGAGCAAGGCAAAAAAACCAAATGGCTTCCAGTTGGCCATTTTTGATTTTTTTTGTTTTTGTCTGTGAAATGATACGTTCTGGACATGTTTTATGATTTTTTGCAAAATGGTTGTAATATGATCACACACCAATATGTATCTGTTCTGTAAATAGGATCTTCATAATTAAATTTACGGGGTTAATTTTGGGGTTCATGTAATTTCATAACTTCAAATATCGTAGATACCCATACATAGCATTTACAACTTTAAAGAATCAGCATGTTTATCAAAATTAGAGAATTAAAGAATCATCATGAAACGATCAAATCTAAGAGAGGTCTATCCAAAGTACATGATACATATCAAAGCAATCAGGCATGCAGTTTTCAAGAAGAAGTCGAAAAAGTAAAACGCTGACACGAAGACCGACAATGGACAATCACTCATATGAAGTTGAAGTCAACAGCAGAGCTAAAAATATGATGTGCACCTGTCACCCAATATACATGATATAAAGTTGAATGAAATCATCTTGTTCAAAGCTGAGAAATGGATCTGGACATGTTTGCAAACTTGATTTTATTGTTTTGACAAAATGTCTGTCAATTCAACAAATTTCAACTAAATCAGGCTATATATCAGTGAGGAATTGGCATAGACATGAATAAAAACAAAATGACCACCCGTTTGTCCTTAAAATGTCTGATATGATATATGATATATGTGTGAAGTTTCAGGCATGTCAGGTATATTTTGATCTGGAACTGCATTCTTTAAAACAAAATGGCTGACAGAAGGCCATTTTGAACCCAATCCAAAAAATAAAATAATGTGCATCAAGTTTCCATTATGTTCAATGTATGTACAGGTATGTACCAAGTTTGGAAGGAATTTGTCAATGAATGACTGAGATCTGGTAAAAATGTGTGATTTTGATGCATATTTGGTTTAAAATAACTCTTCAATCTTCAATCAGATCATAAAAAAATGCATGTGCATGTCTGATATAATGTGCTTGATGTATGTGTGAATTTTGAACTTGATCGGTGTGTATGTGTGAGATATAGTCAGATGTATACACACGGCAGTCAAATCTATAAGTACCTGTTTTTGGATTGATATGCAGCCAAAGAAGAAATGGCTCTGGATGCATGGAACTCAAGTTTAGATATTGTCTTGATCAGAGACTAAAAACAAGTCAATTTGATCATATATAAATTAGTAAAATTAAATATTAGTGAATATTAATATTTTTGCAGTACCGTAAAGTAACAAACCTTTTTGGTATGAATTAATATTTTATATATATAACATTAATAGACTCAATAAACTGATCTATAATATTGTACAAATAAAATATATAAGTAAGCAGATTTAGCTGACAACTTTGATTACCTCAACCCATTCTGTGGAACCAATTAAACCATACTCCTCAGCACCCCAGCTACAAAATACGATAGAACGTCTTGGTTTCCAGCCTGTGAAGAAGTAGACCAGAAAGGTTTCATAGGGATATATTATTTTGATGAATTACAGTTATTTATAAGTATAAAAACACAAAAATTGTTTCATTCTCGTTCATATATTTAACCGTTTCATTAGGAAAAATAAATATTGCTATCATTGGTGACAGAGAAACAACAATAAGATGATGCTACTATGAAAAAGATACAGTAGTAAAAATGGAATTGCATCTAAAGCAAACAGAAATTCTGTCTGAAACTAACACATTTCTACTGCTTGCTTGAAAAACCTTTATAAACTGTAAAGTAAACCATACATGTACGTTTAAACATTCAAGTATAGATGAAAAACTCTCTCAAAGATTTTCAAAAACTGACCCTGTGTGGGGCATTATCTAGATAATGCCCACCTGTTATCTAAATACAAAGTCAACACTTGACTGTCTTTGACTTTCATATTGATAGAAAATACAAAATTTGTTACTGTTCATATTGATCTACAAAGAATTTGATATCAATAGTTTCTGAACCTTGTCACACTCAAAATGTAGTCATAAATATTCATCCTTTTATTATGCAGAGAAGCTTTGTCCAACTGCGATATCTTTAATATGTAAATGTTATGTAAACCATGGAAACAAAGCCTAAATTACATGTACACATGCATTCATACCCACACAATCAGTTGAACATGAATGGCCAGTACAATCTCAAACGGTGGTTGACAAATTCACACACTTCACTCATGCATTCATTCATTCACATACCATGTTGATCTACAAGTACTTTGAATACCCTTGCTATTTCCAGCAAACATGCTGTACCACTTGATGGATCTAATGCTCCAAATACCCAGGCATCATGATGATTACCAAGAATTACATAGCGATCTGCAGCAGATAAAAAAAAGTATATATTTAAATTTTACATAATTACTTATTGTAGAGAAAATACAGATGCACATACAACTTGGATATAACCAACAACTATTTATTGACGAGAATGTCTTGGACATGTTACCCACAATTTCCTGTTCTAGACTTACCTGAGGTTCTAGAACACTTGTATGTATGTAACCTAGACTGGCCCAGTTTTGACTATTTGTAGAATCTCTCACGTCTCACTCAGCTTTTGTTCTGACCTAACTTGATGTATTGAATCCTTTACAAAAGTGCACATCCACTTTCCTTTTTTTAGAAGTGTTCCAAAATGTCACTGCATATCATGAATAATCAATAGCAATTTCACATTGGACCACAAATTAAGCGAAAAAATATTTAAAATTCCAAAGCTGGGCTGTCTACATGCATGTCTACAAATACCCTGTTGACTTATATGTACCAGCTAGGTTCCAGATTGCCTTGGATGTGTACCCCACAATTCTCTATTGACTTACCAGGTTCTAGACTGTCTTGGTTGTATCC